AAAAACTTGTGAAAGCATCTTGCAGAGGAAACATCACGCAAGTTATTTTGAGCTCCTCCAAGAGAAGTTTTCTAACATCTTCATCTTTAACTGTTTCATGAATATTATTCAGAAGTCGAATTTCCTCTATGCTTTGTCCTAAGGATTCAAGTGACCTCTATTGCAAAAGTGTAAGTTTTAGAATTCTTCAAGAATAAAGTAAAGAACTAGCATAAAAAGAAAGACATACTTGTCTTTGAAGCCTAGATATTGTTTCCGTACGATTAGAAATAGTTGCACGTTTTGTATATCTTTGAATTTCCGAATGGTACGTCGCGTAAAGAAAATTTTTTTTTTTTAGTGAAAACTTTAGTGAAATTTACAACTATATATAGTATCTTGAGAGACGCAGTATCAGCATGTGATCATGTGATTAAGTGACACTTGATAAATCAGTTTTTCGTTTTTCAGAAACTTACGGTAACAGCTACGCGTTCACAGACTACCAGTGTTTCGGTCTGAAAACGACCGGCGTATCAAGGGTGGTGACATCGTTGAATGGTTGCGTGGCGATGCTTGCATTCAAAGTGCTTCATTGACAAAGATGGTTTTGGTAAGCCGGCGCACTTCTTTGAATGGTCCGCCCCATTGCCACCACGTAACGACCTGATTTAGTTTGTGTGGATATTTCTGTCGTGTTTTGATATTTAATCGATGTTCAAGGGTTGACTTAGTTTTATCGTTGGACCGTTGTGTGGCGACGTAATATATCGTTGAAAAGATGGTATGATCAGCCAGCGCACTTCTTCGAATGGTCCGCTGTTCTGCCACCATTCAACGACACTTCAGTTATGTCTTCAGCATCCGGCTGAGCGAAGTAATTCTACTACAATCAAAGTCAAGTCCCATATGAAAGGTATAAGTACATCATTATTTTTTCCGTTGTAGAGTTAACAGCCTGATCATTTGATTGTTAAAAAAATAACTACGAGATTTTTACAGCAATACTCTTTTTCTACACTAGATTTCCGAAATAAATTATCCCATACAAATTTTCGCATATCTATATCACCCCCCCCCCCCACACACAGACAATATAAAATAATATTCCCTGTAAGAAAACTTCTCCGAGATTAGGTAATTTCGAACCTACAGCATAAATCGGGGATTAGCAATTGAGATAAAAAATAAGGCAATGTAATATACACTTACCATTACTATTAATTTTCGCAACATTCCATTCCGCCTGAAATTTATTGCTTAACGCATTATAATAAAGGTATTTCGATTTTTTTATCGCATGTACGATACTGCGCAGAATTCGGCAAGTGAAGATGTTTATGACTCCTGATATACTACACCAGACCTTTGCTGCGAAGTTGCATGTGACGAGATTCATGTGAGTAATTTCACTGCGTCCATTGTACGCGTGATGATGGTCAGTGATTTTCTCAGCGAAGATCAAAATGCCGATATATAACAAGAAGAGCAATATGTCCGTATTATTTTGGAACATCTATAAAGGCGGGAAAATCGATTAACATCGTGATGACATGTTTCAAGAAGCTAGCCAAGCAATAAACTAACTTACTTTATTATTTACTTTGCAGAATATACGGGTTCGTTTGATTGTAAATATTGATGATGCAAATAACAGCAGTTTTAAATTTATTAATTTTATTATAATTTTTCGTTTTCTTTGATTCTTGCTTATATTCGCACAAGGCAGATAAAAAGATTTACTAACTAGGACATCACCTTTTTATACAATTTGCAGGATCGATCTTGGAACACACTTGGGGAAAAATTACGTTAATATGATCACATCACGAAAATCTGATCAACGGCATCCCCTTAATTTAACAATAAAGAATTTAACGCTATCCGTATGTAAAGATCATCAAGGGGCTATATATAATTTTGAGAATATGCGAGAAAGGTTGAGAATAAATTATTTTGCGCAATTATTTGTTCCCGTGATACATGTGACGTCTATACTAAAATGTTTCGAATGATACTGCGCATTTATTAAGTTCTAGATCAATGATTTCATTGCAATAAAACTTGATCGAAAAAATATATTAGCATACACGCTTCCCACAATCCCTCCATTGTATATCTGGATTTTGTAAATTAATTGCGTCTTTGCTTTATTGATCATACGAGAAAAAAATACATAATACAGATCAAAGACTGCTACATGATGATGCTACAAACTAGCTAATTATAAAAAATTGGAGCATTATACCGCTTCCCCTTCAGTGATGCTAATATTATTCTCAAATCCTAAATGAAAAATCTATTAGCTTGTTGCTTCCTTGCAAATACCCAATATAACCGAAAGTAAACTCACTTTAACTGCATAATGTCTTGTCCAGAAGTTTCTTCTCTAGTATTTTTTTTTGCTGGCATTCTTTCATACTGCAGTATATTGTGAATGTTGCTCTTTACTTGCCTATTTGTAAGGCTTCAGAAGATATGTACACTTCAGTATTGAAAAAAAAATATCTAGATATCGTACTATGCATTTTTTTAGGTGATTGATCTCACATAACTGGTCTATGCTACAATAGCGAACTTGAGTTTATTGCTTGAACTGTTGCAGGTAAGACAATATTCCGTTCCATTTTTATACCATTCGCCATGTAATCCATAATTCCCATGATTTCTATCGCAAATAGGACATGATGAATCCCACGGCTGAGCAGATGTAAAATTATAATTATCAATCCCTCTAAAGTTATTTCAGAATTTCAGGTATGTGAAATGCTCTAACACGGATCTGATAATTAATTCTGGATCGGGTTTGGCTTCGAAAGTGATAGGCTTAAAATCAGAGGCTTGAGGTTTTTCTGATATACTTATCACAGCTTTTGATAATTGCCATGGTTTATGTTCAGTTTCTCTTTTATATTTTTTATATAAATTGAAACGAATCTTATCTGTCAAAATACTTGGTAACCCACTTAATTTGGCATGCCAATCCAGATATTCAGGAGTTAATATTTTTATTAGACTTAGTCATGTCTAAATTTTATATGATTGTGAGTCAGTTTAAATCCTTTTTATTCTCATATTTATTCAAAAAAAAAGATTAAAATTCCCTGATAGAAAGCTTACTAATATTTTTTATTATATTTCCAAGAAAATAGTTAGGCTATCTTTCAAAGTATCTATGGTATAAGAAAGGACAATGAGACTATGCAACTAACTCAATTTCACGTTGTTTACATTTAATAAAATAGGATCTGGTTTCATATCTACCTTCTATACCTTTCTCATCATCATGATCTAATTTGCATAATAGACATGAAATCTCATCAGTAATTCCATAATAATCAATATTTTCACTACTAAATTCTCTATATAAATTAGAATATTGATCTAATACTTTGTTGCGAAAATAGGTGCAGTCATAGATTGGGTAAGGTGCAGTTATTACTTTCATCTCTGACGTATCAGTTTTATTGGTTTTCAAAGTCACGTGTCTGTTCTAATTTAGAACGGAATCATCATAATCTATATCATCTGTATTGGTAGCTTTTGAGGGGAAATCATTTATAATATCTTGGATCTAATTATAAAATAAATTCAAGATGGCACTTGCGCTACAGCTAATTATTTGAATTCTATTTATTCTTATCCCATCAAACAATATATAGATTTTTTTAGCTCTGAAAGTTATTTTACGCAAGTTTACATCAGTAATATCAGAAAGAAGAGGTTTGATTTTGCTGAACATTAATGTTCTTGCTGATTTGTCATCAATACCATTCTTAGACTTAACATCTCTGACTTGATCCTCATATACTTTATAGTAACAATACTAGCATAAAATCTTCTTACGTCTAAGCTTCATTGTTACTCTAAATAGATCAACTATATTCTGTACCATAACTTCACTAGATTCTATTAGAATTGCTTCTAGAGAGAGTTTAGAAATTTGAATATCAAACACCTTATTAATCTTACTATCACCAACTTCAGTGAAGGATAGCTTCTGCCTCAAATCTTACTTCACTTTTTGATTATAAGGAATTTTTTGACACTCTGTCTCTGTGTTCTTAAAAGCCAAAACTTGTTTGTTTGCTATAGGCAATTTTACTGGTAATGTTCTAGCAGATAATTTGTTACTAGAGGTAACTGACTTACAGACTGAAATTGATTTTTTGACTACTTGTTCTGTGATAGTTACAAGTTCAACGCTAGTCATAGAGAGGTTCTCCTTACAATGAGTTGAGTCTGAAGTAATAAAGGATGAGTCTTTGGCAATTATCTTATCCTGAACCTTCTTTTCTTGTTTGCTTTCTCTAATTTTATCACTAATGCTTTTCTTATTTACCTTAATCAAAAAAGCATCTATCTCCTTTTTTTCTGATGTCTTGACATCATCATTATTTCGCTGGTCTGATACAGAGCTAGATAAATCAACATCTGATACAGTTTGCTTTACAGATCTCTTTGATATTGCTTCTTTATGTAGCTGATCATCTACTACTAAGGAACCCTGTTCTACTATTACTAGTCTGACCTCAAACTCCATATTTTTTTGCTTTAATTTCTTAACTCTAACATTACGCCTGGCATTTTTCTCAATAATCTACTTCAGCTTCACATTTTCAGCTTTAATCTCTGCAAACTTCTTCCTAAGTTCAGAAATCTTAACTAAGAGCCTAGTATTTACCTCTCTTAATGAATCAATAGATTATACGTTTGATATGATTGAAAGCACTTGTTTAATACACTAAATATTCAAATTAAATAATAAAAAATCACATATCCGTTCCAATTTAGAATGCAGATCACTTTTATCAAGAAAAAAATTTATTATTACATGCAAAAAATAAATACAAAGGTCTGGACTAAGCCTATGATACATATTATTTTTTGATATTTTTTTGATCCTAACCCTCTTACTAGACGGAGAATTATCTATACAAATACGATTTTTTAACAGCCCAACAATGACACTAATCACCTTTTTCATGTTACTACAAAGTAATTTAGGATTTCTTTGACCGCTAACTTTGTGAGATTAATCTGATATTCTACTGCTATTTGTATAGTAAATACCATCTAGCCAGGTCCTAGAGAGATCCCATATTTCTGATCAAAGTTCAAGTAAATAATATGACAATTTTATTAGACTTATTATTTGTGAAAGATAAATAATATTGAATTATAAGAGTATATAGAATAATAATATTAGATTACTTATACTAGGTAGACTATATACAAATCGCTTAAGTATTTTTTCTTTCTAATACTTGACCACCTTTGTATTCCAATGGGTCTTAATTTCACAAAAAAAGTTATTCCAGTTGTGCTAATCATCATCATAAATAGTCTAATCCTCTTCTCTCTGTTCATATTCTTTGGTAAATTCATTGAAAACTTTCTCTTTCTTAGCATCTATATTCTTATCAAATATTTTGCTAATATTGTAGATCAATTATACTTAATAAAAAATAAAGTACTGATAGCGTGCATAGCTTCTTTTTAGTATATGTGAAAATTAATATGTCGCACAAGACTTGACTGATGTTTCACTTATTTTTTCTATTGCACAATCTGACCAAAGACATTGTGTATGGCTTAGCAAAAAATCTTCTGAGTTGATCACTAATCCAGATTAGTTAGATCACTAGAATACTAGCATTCTGCTTGATTAGCTAGTATTCTTTCATCTTTAAATAAAAAAAAATGTGAAATACAATATACTGAGCAACATAATGCTAATGATCACTGCTCTGGACTAGCTAGATTGGTCAGCCAGTATGTCATCTAAAATTATCGCAATTGTATTGAAATTAGGTTGTCTGTGTATCTGATGTAGAGCCAAATTCTGATTATCTCGCATACTTAGATTTAAAAGGCTCTGAAGGTTCTAAGCTAAAATTTGATTATTAACTACTCTAATAAGATCAGAAGACGTTAAAATTTTCACAAAATTCTTTACATAAATATTTAGATTTAGCTTATCTACAGCTTTTTTACTAATATTGTAACATCTTCTTAAATTAAGATATTTTAAATTAAAATACAAACTAGCAATCTCTTCAATCGTTATATCAATAATTTTACAAAAGCTAAGATCAAGTTGCTAGAGTCTTAGGCAAAAATGAATAACATTGCAAATTGATATTTCAGAAAACTCTGTATAATTAGAAATATTTAGACATTCTAATTTATGATATAAATCTGCAATTGCAGTTAGACCTTTATCAATTTTTTATTGAAATAAATTATCTAAAACAAATATATTAAGATACTCTAAATTTGGGTATAATTCTGCTATTAGCTTTAGAACTTTTCCAACAGACTCAGACTTCATACTTCTTTCAAAATCTAAATGAATTATATTTTGAAACCTGCGTACAATACTTTTGATTTTTTTATTTGAAAGCCAGTAGTCTGATATTTAATATAAGTTAATTTTAAGCTATAAATTGGTTTACGTCCTCTCCTATATACTATTTTTAAAAATCTTTTTAATTGAGTTTGATCATTTACACTATTTAGCTCAACGTGTTTCTATAGAATAGAAGCACTGCATCTGTATTACAATCGGCAAATAAATAAAGTGGAGTAAAGAGATTTATCTATCAATAAGAAATGTAAAATATGTTCTAGTAATTCCTGTATATTAAAAATACTTGTATGCGTCATAAATAATATGTATTATATGTTATATCTTTAATCAAAAAAATAAATTAGCCAGAATGTCTCTCTAGTAAAGCTTTGAACAGTTTGGATTAATCTGAAAATTTTCAGTTCAGATTAACTTCAGTTCAGTTTCAAATTGCAAAAAATTTAATCCGAAAATTTTCAGTTCAATTCAGATTTTTTTCGGATTATAAATCTAATCCAAACTGAAAAAAATTTGAACTGAACTGAAAATTTCAGATTAATCCAAAATTTCGGATCATTTGGAATGATTAAATTTATCATTCTAAATGAATGATAAAAGAATCGTTCGATTAGAATGATCAAATTATTGTTCTAAATGAACGATAATAGAATTGTTCAATTGGAATGATGAAATTATCATTCTAAACAAACAATAAGAAAATCATTCAATTAGAACGATGAAATTATCGTTTCAATCGAACGATAAGAAAATCATTTAATTGGAATGATCAAATTATCATTCCAAATGAACGATAATAGAATCATTTGATTGGAATGATAAAATTATCGTTTTAAACGAACGATAAGAAAATCATTTGATTGGAACGATCAAATTATCATTCTAAACGAACAATAATAGAATCGTTCAATTAGAATAATGAAATTATTATTTCAAATGAATAATAATAGAATCATTCGTTTGAAACGATCAAATTATCATTCCAAACAAATGAATGATAAGAAAATTATTCAATTAGAACGATCAAATTATCGTTTTTTTAGAATAATTGAAGTTATTATTCCAAATGATCTGAAATTTCAGATTAATCCAAAATTTTCAGTTCAGTTCAGATTTTTACTGGTTTAAGGTTTGATTCAGTTTCAGATTGACATTTTTAAGATTTTTAATATAAACCGAACTGAACTGAAATTTTCAGTTCAATTTCAGATTGGCCTATAATCTGAACTGAACTGAACCATTCAGAGTATTACTCTCTAACAGTTCAAGTTTAACCCTATTAATTCATCTAAAAGAAGATCTATTAAACTTAATAACTTTGACTGAAAAAATATGCAAAGTGCCTGACTCGATCCACTTCAAACTACCATCTACTTAACCTTTCTTAGTCATATTCTCCTTTATTGCTTATGAAAGACAGCCTTTTTTTCTCTTACCTCAATTATCTCAACCAAATCAGATTCTTCAGAAGAGTCAGACAAATAGGAGAATCCCTTACATTCTTTCAGCCCTTTTTTACCAATTATCAAGGAAACTATTTCTTGTATTAAGTCGACCACAGTTTCTCTATCTAATATTTGTCTAGATCTTCTAATTTAATCTCTAAGGACTTTACATCTCTCTTTAATCTTTTTACCCCTTTTCTAAAATGTTATATTAGGAATAATAATCTTTCAATTGTTTCTTTAGTGTCCTATTTTCACTAGAAAGTGCACTATATACTTTTGCATTTTGCTCGTTTAGTTTAAATGCCTAGACTAATATCTTTGTATATTTAATAACTTCCTGCTCAGTGAGCGTACTATCAGATGAATGCTTTTGATCAGTTATCATTTTCATGCTATTTTATATATGATATATCTATTTTTTTTGAATAAATATGAAAAAAAAAACCTCTATCAGATAAGATATTAGGATAAGTTATTCTAGTTAAAAAGATAGACTATTTTCTGCAGATTGATAGATTAAAGGAAGCGAAAAATAAAATTAATAAATGATATTCTGATTTGATCCCTTTAGGGTCTCCTTTAAATCATATATGTGATTAGTTTTCATCAAAAATGTTGAAAGGATTTGCATAATCATAAAGTTGATTTTGCTTTCTATAATTGACTATAGTATATCTATCAGATAGAGAAACATGACCATCGAGCAAATGTCAAAGAGCTTCCTAGTATAAGTATTAAATTTTGATAGGTTTTTAGGCATATGTATTATGCTAGTAAATACTGATCCTAATTTGCACAAAGAGCTAAAAAGTAGCGAGTCATAGGACTTAGAAATAAATTTATTTTTCTTCAGAAATGCACTTAAGTATGTAGATCCAGACTTCTCAGGGTCTCTTAACTCTCTAAAAGAAATTGCATTTTGAATCTATATAAGTAATTATTTAGCTCACTCTTCATTCTTTTCCAGTGATCTAAATACTTGAGAAATATTCTGTTCATCTCAGTTTTTTGAGTATTCAGTTACGCTATTATTAGATATACGCAGATTTTTAAATTCAGCAAGGCAGATATAAAGTATGATTATTACATCATCTAGGACCTGTTTGTCAGGTATATTAGATACATCATACTCATCCAATCTTTCCTTAACTAATTCTAATAAGAATTGATCTAGATAATAGAGCTCTTCATTTTTACATTACTTACTACGTTCCTTTTGAATTTTATTAAATAATTTAGTTGTCTCCAGATTCTTTATAGCAGAGATTATTTTTTCTAGAGCATTGAGAGTTTGCAATTCTTTTCGAAGCCTAGAAAGATGTGATAGAATAACAATAGCATTAGAAGATGTTTCTTCTAAGGTTCTAGATATCACTTTTGTATCTCTTTCACTAA